AAATAATACAACCAAGCTGTATGACAAATACAGTCAAGTTCAACAGAGCAGCTTTTCAGAGACTAATGCAGCTGTACACAACAGCATAACATTAACTGGAATGGTTAGCCAAAGTTAATAGACTGACCCCAGAGAAGCATACACACACACAAATCCTTTGTTTAGACAAATGCATCATGTTATTTTGTGTCAGATGTTGAAACAACAAGACTGGGGCCCATCATGTACACACTGGGGACATTATTTGTCCACTTGAATTTCTTGGCCACAATATTTATCATTATATCATTGTGGCCTAACTTTGCAAACGTGGTGCGGTTTTGTACTTTTAAAATTAAGTCTGCTATATGCGAAGTTTGTAGGCACATGTAAGCTTGGGAAAGCAGACATGTCAGAGCAACACAGTTCCTATTAATAAAGCTAAATTGTGCACAAAATCCTACATTTTGCTGGTTTATAAACTGCTTTAACATCCGTTCATTGAAATTAAATAGCTGTATTAGGAGCAGTCATTAGCTACAACTCATTGCTACTAATGGGCCGCCTTGTTCAGCATTAACTGTCCACGATTCATCTGTAGATGTATTCCAGCTTTTTTTTAACATAAGCCACTCAGCATAAGAAAGCATCTATACTTCTATGATATCATGCCACAGAAACATAAATCACAACACAGGCTGCAATAACAAAGGGAAAAAGGTCCCATGATCAACATTATTTATTTTAAGGGTCATCGCCTATTAAAATAGTGTTAAGAGGACTCTGCTCCACTCAGCTCTTGAACTTCGCCTGCCTAATGTAAAATGAGAAACACCTAGATTTATTTTGACCCTTGCTTGCTGTTTTCATTTTTTAAAAAAATCTGCATAAGTATAAAGAAATAAGGGTCTAACATGGTGGAACAGATAAGTGATAAAAGCTTTCAATGAATCACAATCGCATTAATGTGCTGGAAAGGTTAACCCTCTGCATGCCAAGCACATTCAATGTGTCAGTGATCAATCCACTTCTCTCCAGCTGGTTTTATTAAAACTGCATCATATGGATTATGTGTATAACACAAAATAAAATTACCTGTGCTTTTTCAATGGTAAAATTGTTTCAAAAAGTTTTTTTTTAATTCGGTCAATATTTAATACCAAATAATGTGGTGCTCCTAACTTAGACAATCCGAATGCTGGGGATGAGGGTAAATGCTATAAAATTTACCAAATGGAACACTTTGATCCAATCTTGAATCCACTCCTTCCACATATTGATTATGATTTCCATTAATATTACACCTTCAACGTGTGCTGCTCACACACTGCAAACAAGTACACCGGCTTTCACCGAACACTTTAATATGTATTGTCAACCTAGTTTGTACGATTCAAACGCATACATGCATAATAAGTAAACGCTGACTGGCAGTGTTTTGTAATAAGTTTCTAAGATGGCGTTTCATGTGGTAGGAGAGAGCTTTGAGATAAAATCTAGCATAGCCAAAAGGAGAGGATGTTAATCACATAAAATGCACCCAGATATCTGAGGCCCATGTCTATTAATGATTGTGAACATTATTCACATGGACTTCAAGGATGGAGTTCAGATACAGTGCTTAGGAGCAGCAGTGTACATTGCTGTCTTGTTGGTTATTTCTTTCTGAAATTTGACCGATAAAGACAAAAAGCAACTGCAGAGGCTTTCATGTTGTTCGTATGAACACGGAGGTTTGGGCACAACAGTTGAATTGTAGAATGGAGGATAGATAAAGATTCTGGAAAGTTTGCTCAATAATCTTTGGGATTAGCTATTCAATGCAATGCAGGGGGTAGAGTGGATGTCAATGATTAGGTTGATTTGTGTGGCTATACAAGGAGTGGGATTGATGGGCCGAATATGTGTTCTTAAACCTCGGAATCCAAGACAGGCAAACCAAACCACTGGGTTTCCAAACTCACAGATCTTTTGGCAATGCTCAGTTTACAAGTAGATGAAGAGATTGTTGGGGAGGGGGGGGAACGAGAAAAGATAGATTACTTATTGAAAATTATAGTTTTTGTTAACTAGGAAAAGAAAAGTGTAAACTAGTGTACTCAACAGTTACTGCACACTGAGTGAGAACAGGCATTAAATGTGATACCTCTCACTGTAGGTTTAACTTATTGAGGTTTAAGCTTCTGATACATTGTGTATATATTATTCTAGGGTTACATTTTTTTTTAAAAAAGCCCTTCATACTGGGATTTGTAATACCATAGTTGCTTTGTATTTGTTGTGTATAATTGATGTTCTGGAAAGAATTGGGTTGTTCTGAGCAAGAGGGAAATTAAGAAAGGCATTGATATGTTGGACTATCCTCAATTGCGCATTGAATCCCAGGAGCTGAGCACAAAGCAGTTCTTGCCAGAATGTAATCGGATCACATTTTGCCTTGAACTTTTGCACACGAGACCACAGTTGATGGAGTTTGTGAAAAAACGGCACAGCAATGGCAGCATGGATTGTCCAGAACAGTTCTGTTCTTGACCACTGTGGGTACCGAATGTCAGTGAAAGGAGTGAGAACTGTCTATAGATACACTGGATTCAAATCAAGTTCAAATCGAGGTGGTGGTGGCGGGGAGTAGGGAAGCTGGGGACAGACTGGGAAATCTCAGAAATGTCCTCAACTCCTAGCACATTTGCGAATCCGAGACCAATTCCACAATGGAAGTTTTGTTCCTTGTAGTTTTACAACTGGGTGGCTGAGGAACCTTCAGTCTGACATTATTGACTCAATCAAAGTCCCTGAAAGTCAGTGACTTGCAGTAGTTTCTGCCTCAGGATCGATCACCACTCACTTTTGCTGAACCTGTTGATTTGGTTGTATTCCGTAAAATTCTAATGCAAATGTTTCCAGTTGAATGTGACAAATTATTCTTTTAAATAAAGGGGTCTGTTTAAATACAAATGTTATTAATGAAATGTTTGTTATTGAGGAGGAAACCAGGAATGACTACAAATAAATATGACAAAGAGCGATGGAGAGGAAAAACCACTAATTATTACTTTGTGGCTTTAGTGGTTGGGCACAGATGTTCAGAAATGAGCACTCTGAGGGTTCTCCTGGCAAAGACACATTGGTTAAGCAATAACGGACATACATGCTATTGCACTGTGTTGCCAACTGCAAGTTGAGGCTATCAATCAAATCAATTTAACAAGACAGTGCATATCACCCAGTATTCCTACTCAATTACATTTAACAAAAGGAGGTTTAAACTTCTGTCTGTTTTTGAAAAAAAATATTTTGGTCGTAGGGATAAATTCCACCAATATCAACTGTCAAACTGCACCCACAACAGCATCACACACCACTGTGATTTTTATCTGATCACTGGACACCGTTTGCAGCATTCAACAAGAGAAGGGACAAGAGAGGAGGAATTATTGGTAATCTCTCATTAGATGCACAAGCTCCACAGGTTAGCTGCCACTTTGTAACAATCTGAGTAAAGATTAAGGGCATTATACTGAACTGCCACAAAATCCTCAGTACTGCGAAGGAAGCTACACATGAGATATCTCTTGGTCTTTCCTTCGTTTCTTTAATTTGGTGCTGCTCAGGTCAGAAGCTGCCAAAAATGCAGACATTTTGCAAAAACCTCCACCCCCTCTTCTGTCTAATGTGATGTAAGGCTCAATGATAGGGACACCCTGAATTCTAGCACTCAGGATCATGTGGCAATGCAATAGAACATCCTTCCCCTTTCACTCACCAACGAGACACTTTGTTTATTCTGTGGAAGTGAATGATCCCTGAGATCTTAACACCATCTTTAAAATTTAATCTGGGAAGCAGCATCCAGCTGTCGGCTGTTAACGTGATAATTCAGACATGTGAACGGCCCAGTTTACTTTTCACTCACCGCAAACGATTAGTTTGGTTGACAAGCGGGAATGTCCTTCACTTCCATGCGATAAATCTGATGGGCGTGTGGGGTATGATCATTGCTGGCAACACCGTGTGGAAACTTGCCACTTCCACAAGATGGGAATTTGATGCCCATTTCCCCTCATGTTGAAGATGACTCTTCACAATGAGGGAGCTTGGGCCAATCCAGATTTAAAGAGTAAAACTTGCAACCAAGCTTACTGAATGAGGACAGGGAGGGTGAGTTCCATGAACGAAACAGGCTCAATGGTCCATTCCAAAGCTGGATGGATTCCCAGAACGTGCACAGAGTTCTAGTTTCACTGGATGGATTCTAGTTTTAAAACACTTTTATTTTTTTCTCCCGATCGCTGCTAATTTTTCCCAGCCTCCTACTCTCCCGAATACACTGTCTTATGCTGGCATATTCTTCTGCATGTCATCTTCCTGAAAGTTAGCAGTGTGAATATTCTTCATGTGTGAGCCTACGCAGGGAGTGTTTGCAGGATATTCAACGGCGGGGACAGGAATGGGCGTGAGGAGAAGAAGTGTGGAAGGGAAGCAAGTCAACGCAGCTGAGCCTGATTCTATGCACAATGTCCACAAACACACACTCCAGAGAGTCCTGAAGTTAATTGCATTGGCCCAGCTGCTGCTTCTGGTGAATCCATACAGATCAGGATTCGAACCTGCAATGGCCCGGTCCTTCAGTCTTAAGTGCTGGGCAGTACACCTCTGCTCACTATGCCACCATGGAAGCTGCAACTATTTTTTTAGCATGTGTGTCACCGCCATTTAAGTAGCAAGAATCCCATCGCAAGACTAGGCCACTTTGAACCGCAATGATTAAATGGTGCTGTTCTAAATGGCTACCTATCCTGGAAATTCATTAGGAACCACAGCTAGTGGAACACACATCAATACTCACGGCAGAAGCAAGGTTACAGAAATACTCTGGGCTTTTTAGGGTTTGTTCACGGTTTCACAAAATGTTAGAAAAGGATATGGTAACTTGACCTCTCATTATCACCTGCAACTCCATTAGAACTAGGCACCATGACTGTTACTGTATCTAGCCAAAGAGAAGGAAGAATCATGCCCACCTGCTGCTGGTGTAGGTAGGTTGGATCCCGTGAGCTGATTCCCACAAATTGCCGGTTGGCAGGGGATGTGCCTGACCCTGTGTAGACTGGTTTAAAAGACAAAAAGTGCAATTCAGATTACAGGAAATACACATTTATTATCATTATATTGTGTAGCCTTTACATTAAAACACAATTTATGGACCGCAATGGTCCTACAACGGTGCTGCACAGCAGAAGGCCTTTCGACAAATCCACCTCTAAGTGCACTTACAGAAAAGCCAAATAACCACAAAATTATTAACACACTCAGTATTATAGTCCCTCATTTATCATCAATTGCTATATAAGTTCCGCTCGTCAAATATAACAAATGAACCTTATTCTATTACAGTGCAATGCTAAATATATGCATTTAATGAATATGCCAATCTTTTTATCATTGCAGGATCACATTCCCAAGTTTCAGCACACACGGTATTTTCAGCCTTCAGAACACAGGGAAGGCTACAATCCAATCTGAGAGTTCAAAGAAAAGTTGCACACCAATGGTCTATAAGCTTGATTGCCACTGTTTATACAAAGTGCTGGTGAAAGAGGAACAGGGAACATTTCTTTCAGGAAACCAGTTTCCCAAACAGATTTTACAGCTGCAGTTTATTTATTTTTTCGAAGGGTAGGGGCCTGGAATATTTGTTCATCAGTTTAAGGATCCCCATGAAGTGCAGCAAATCCAGGCTTCTTACACGTACAGTGCTATAATAATAATAATCCTTGCATTTGATATAGCGCTTTTCACGTCGGGAGGACGTCCCAAAGCGCTTCACAGAACACACTGTAAAGTGAATTGACTGTATATTTGTGGGCGAACGCGGCAGCCAATTGCGCACAGCAATGTCCCACAAACAGTCGTAGATTGAAAATGACCAATTAATTATTGTTTTGTTTTTGGAGGGATTATTATTAGGCGTGTGGAGTAAGGAAACTTGCCCAAGGTTTCGCCCTGCCTGGAATTGAACTCAGGTTTCTCGCTTGCAAAGCGAGTGCTCTAACCACTGAGCTACAGGACTCCACTATACAGGATGGAAAGCGATTCTTCAGGTTTTCCTTTAGAAAGTCTGCATCATTGGAACATCAGAAAGTGAGGGCAGATTTTTGGCATGGTTTTCTTTCATTTTTTATATTTTAACTTTTGTCTGTCTGAGTTGATCCTCCGGAGACAGATCGCTCAGCCGAATGGGCAGATAGGAGGCAGATGCAGTTTAATGTTGTGAAATTGCACATTTTGAGAAAAAGAATTAAGAAATGGAAGCATACTTTATTAGGTCCGGTTATTCCTGATGCTAAGTATAGAGGTATATTTAATGATGGATTTGTGTGTCAGCTTGGCTCAGTTGGTAGCACTCTCACCTGAATCAGGTGTTGTGGGTTCAAGCCTCATGTCAGGACTTGCATTGGTTTGTTGGAGGTGCCCTCCTTCAGATGGGACATTAAACCACGATCCTATTTGATTGTTCAGGTAGATAGTAAAGATCTCATGGCACTATTTGAAAAGAGAAGGAAGTTTCTCCCAGTCGCCTGGCCAGCAATCCGCCAGAGGGTAGTGGAGACCAGTGCATTGGTCCTACTTAAAAATCAGTTTGATGCTTTGATGGGAAGATGGTAGAGTGGGTATTCTGGGAAGACTAGATCAAATAGGCCGAAGGGCCTTCTTCATCCAAACTAATCTTGTCATCTGAGATTGGTTAAGAAGCTTCATTGACTGCTTGTGGGACTTTGCTGTGCAGAATGCAGAGGAGATTTACCAGAATGGTATCAGCGATGAGGAATTTTAGTTATGTGGAGAGACTAGAGAAACTGGGATTGATCTCCTTGGAGCAGAGCAGGTTAAGGGGAGATTTAATACAGGTGCTCAAAATTATGAGGGGTTTTGATAGAGTAGATAGGGAGAAACTGTTTCCACTATTAGGTGGGTTGGTAACCAGGGGACATAGATTCAAGATGGCAAAAGAACGAGAGGGGAGATGAAGAGAATTTTTTTTACAGAGAGCTGTTATGATCTGGAATGCATTGCCTGACAGGGTGGTGGAAACAGATTCAATAACAACTTTTAAAAGGGAATTGGATAGGTATTTGAAGAGGAAATATTTGTAAGGATATGGGGAAAGAACGAGGGAGTGGGACTGATTGGATAGCTCTTCCAAAGAGCTGGCACAGGCATGGTGGGTCGAATGGCCTCCTTCTGTGCAATAATTTTCTACGATTCTATGAAATTGGCTGCTGCCTTCACCTAAAAAATCCAGTAACTACACTTTACAATAAATCCTTTGAAGCATTCTGAGACGTTTCGATGATGTGATGAGTCCCTATTTCAAATGCATGGATTCTTCTTCTTACTGTTATTACTTTGACCTCCAGGTCAAAGTCACAGTCACTGTGGTCATCTTATCCCCTGAATGTAAAAGCGAAATGAAATGCTGATGTGGTGCTGCTCGGTGTGAGCAAGCTCACCTTGAGGTGCAAGTTCAGTGGCAGCTACTACCTGTATTGGATGCGTGAGCAGATACGGGTTTGAACAGCTGAGAGGCTGCAGAGGCACGGCAAATCAATTAGCGCACAAGTCGCAGCTGTCTGGAGGCTCTTTCAAAAGAAGATATTGTTCTCCCGTTTCATTGCTGACAGTCTCCCACGAAACACATTAGCAAGCCTTTGTTAACTTCACCCGGGGAGAGAGATACGCAGCACACTGTGGCAGTTTAACCACAGTGTTTGCCGAGAGAGACGGCCAATCCCAGCACGTTCCAGCACATCTGATTTGGATCATTAACACTGTCTCAGTGCACTGGACCCCCCCAAATCTGCCGCCATCAATCAAGTCCCGGAACTGTTCAAAACTGAAAGTCACAGCTCTTGCAAATCAAATTTAATGCAACTGATGTATCGATATTGTTTTTTTTATTCCATTAAATCAAAAACTCAAGTGTACTGATAGTTGGCTCCACCCTGCCAAATTCTTCATGAGACAATGAGTTAATTTTACTGAAGTCCATCTCAAGTTCGTAAGAGCTGGAAGGTGCTTCGTTTGATACTCTAAACCCTTTACCTTTTCAGAACGGCAGGGAAGTTTTTGTTTGCGTTGTCCTAACCCGATATAGAGAGAATAAGGGGAGAAACGACAATGACATAGAAGAGCACAGAGAAAAATTGCTGTGCCCAAAGCAACTTCATTCTGAGGAAGGGGCAAAGGAAACAATCATTTTATATACCTCTCTTGCTGTGCGCAATTGGCTGCCCCATTTCACCCACAAAATATACAGTCAATTCACTTTACAGTATATTCTGTGAAGCGTTTTGAGACTGTGAAATGATAAGGCGCTATATCAAAATGCAAGGGTTATTATTATTATTTATTATTATTGCAGTGGGTTTTAAAGGATTCAATACAAGCACAGGGCAGCGACTCATCTATTTAACAATACTTACTGTCTGAAGGAAATAATGTTACCTCACCTTCAGTTGATGTAGTGACAGGTTTAGTGTCTGAAGACATGGCTAGAGTCACTGGTCTGGGCATGCCGTGATGGGGTGAGGGAGCCAGCACTGAAGTAAAGTGACCAGGCCCTTTGCCCACTACTTGCCCACTACTGTTAGGCTGTGTAGGGGGGGAAAAGAAACACAAATTCAGCATGCTGCAGCATAGTTTTACACAGTTAACATAGAAACAACAGGCTAAGAATTGGTTTCCATTTTAAGCATCTTCAATTAAGGAAAAAATGTCAGGTCAGGGCATCAGTTGGACGCCAGTAATTTTCTTCATTGTTAGTGAATATGGTAAGATGTGCTACACTAGCTAAACGACTTAGAATACATCTACATCTTAATTTTAACCACTTCTATTTTTAACGATTTAAACAATCTTTTTCTTAGATCTTTGGCTAAATAAATAAATTTGTATAAATCTTAAATCTTTTTCTTCAGCTGAATTCATAATATTAAACACGGGAGATAGATTCTTCTCCAGATTTCTTCCTCCCCTTATTGGTAGCCTCTACATCTGTCAACCTTGCCTGTGTAGATTCCCCAAACTCTGCTCAGCCTTCAAGGGTTGTCTAGCGGACATTTAAGGAGACACCAACACTGTACTTTCAAAAACTTTCAGGAATTGTGTAACCTTGGGGAATAATGAAATCAAATAAAGAAAACTTCTTTGTTTAAGAAATAATATTTATCAAGAAAAGTGGAATAAGATGGCTTTCACAATTGAACCAGAAACCAGGCCCGCATTGTATATATCAGAAGGGATATTAACACTGCTGAAATTCAAATGAACTTTTTTCAATTTAACAATCACGGTAATATTTGTGCCTTTCAAAGATGGCTGGCAAGTCCCAACCTGTAACTATGGAACTCATTAACTCATGTAACCTGCAGCAACCCCGCCTAATAATGATCGGTTGATTAATTTGACTGAAGAGGTGCTAGGAGAGAGGGAGGGAGAAAAAGAAAACAGGAAGAAGGGAGGGAAATTAGAAGGAAGATTCATTCAGCTGTGAAATGTCAACGTGCTCCTTATCTCCACAGAGAACAAACTTAAAACTTTTGCAGAGGCAACTTCCAAACACCAAGTGGGCTCGTGATTAGAATATTAAAACAGAGTTAAAAATCTTCTGAGAGTAAACTGCAATTTCATGCTGGAACAATGCACACAACAGAGCGATTGTACTTACCACAACACAGAAGTGTCTATTACCATTATGGTGGCGCTATGGTTTCTATTAGCAGGTGCCCATTTAATTTAAATGTGACGCCTATTTTACACTAGAAATATTTTCATCTAAGGAAATGTGCTGGGTTAAAATAAATGTCAGACTGACTCAGTTGGTAGCACTCTTGTCGCTGAATCAAAAGGTAGTGGGTTCAGGCTCACTGTGAGCTCACAGTCTAGGCTGACACTCCAATGCAGACCAGTGCAGTTGTGAGGTGCTCTGCAATGCTGGAGGTGCCATCTTCCAGATGAGATCCTAAACCAAGGTCCTGTCTGTCTGTTCAGGTGGACGCAAAAGATCCGATGGTAAAATTTGAAAAGAGAAGCGTGTTTCTCGTGGAGTCTTGTCTAACAATCTCTCACATAAAATGCAAGGATTGTTATTTTAGTTAACAGTTCACACATGTACCTGTGGTAAATAATTAAATTAACATTCTCAGTATTCAAGGTAATTCAACGGGGTACTGATCTCAGATTCAGGCTCTATCATACCACCAATATTTGCATTTCATATAGCACCTTATCTGTCATTGAAACATTTCAAAGCGCTTCATAGGATTTTACTGTGACATGTAGTGACTGTGTTTGTAGGCATACATTGCAGCCAATTTGCACACAACAATGTCCCACAAACAACTGTGAAATGAATGACCAATTTCATCTGGGGGAATTGTTGACCAGGACGCCAGGAGAAACTCCCTTCTCTATTCGAATAGTGTCATGAGATCTTTAACGTCCACCTGAAGGCAGATGGGTCCTCAATTTAACACCTGATCTGAAGGACGGACACCTCCAATAATACAATGCTCCCACAGCACCATATTGGAGTGTCAGCCTAAACTGTAATATCCTTCAGACATGAAAGGCGCTGTATAAATGTAAATTGCATTGTATTGCATAAATGCAGCAGAGACTAGTTGGTAATTATCCACTGGCTATCGATCCAACTTAATCACAATAGTTAGATACAAACGGAGCCTGCAGAGCAGCTGGTTTGAATTCTGAGTTAGCTTAACATTGATTTCTGTTGTTGACAATTATCACCCATGTTAGTCTACAGTGCAGTTACGTCTCGCAATGTTTACCTCCACGGTTCAGGAGCTTCGATAAAATTGCTCTTAAAAGTACAGTGTAAATCAAACCAGATTTACAAATGTTGTGCCAAGCCTACATCTGCCCGACACAATGAATGTGCTGAAATGCAAGTGATTTAATTTGCTACTCTGGTATCACGTCCAGAGACAGGTTGTTCAAGTTAAGTATTGACAAGACCAGACAACACATCTGTGTGTCTCTGCTTCAGTAAAATCCAACTTGGGTCTTGTGGCATATTTGTTTGTGAAAACTGAGATGAACTTCAGTTTGTAGGTTGTGAAATCACTATGCTGACTACATTTAATCTTCAGCCATCCAGGAGGAACCCTTTTATAGTTTATTTTCACACTGCACCATTAAGCAACTCCTGCTCCCCATCTCCTCATCAAATAAATCTCAGACTAGACATAATAAAACACAAGGCAGTGGCAGGAGGTTCAAACAGTTCTCGCAGAGCGGCCTCAGGCAGGAGTTGAGTTGTGTGTAAGTTTCACTGGGATGAAAGACTCCGCGTAACACACTCGCAAAAGGTGCGATGGGTGTGAGTTCACTACTGAGTGACTTGGGCCTGCAGTCACGGTGTGGCCTGTTAAGAGCCATAGTTACTTGCAGGACTAGTTTGGGTTTTTGGTGCAGTCAATCACAGGGTTTCTGAGCTGTAGAATTATCACAAGCACCATAAAATAGAATCCATTTGTCAATAAAACTGGCTAATAAGCCATCTAGCTTCTCCATTTTTATTACTTGTAATACAAGAGTTGCTAAATGAAACTCCTTACCCCCTGACCTCCATCTGGTTTTCCTTTTTCTTCTTCAAAAATGTAATCTTACCCAGACTGTTGCAGTAACAACGATTACTGGGTTTATGAGGCACCCCTTTGTGCACAGTGACTTAATTTAGAGTTAATTTATGAAATATTTTAATAAAGTTTTATAGGAAATGAGGAACGGCCAGGCTAGCAGAAAATTCAATGGCAGTTTGCCATTCAACAATTGGAGATATTTAACTCATCCTTCATAATTTCCTCCTGTCGCTCCTTCTAATTACATCAGTTATAAAGCTATATTGAATAGATTTAACTATGTAACCCTCTTGTGACTTTTGGTGGCGTTCCTGTGTCCTCAAATGTTTTCTGTTCAAGAAAATAAGTTACTGGGATTTTAACACTGTACTGTTCATTATTGCCAGCCAACATTTTGTTGAGTGCTTATGGCGGGCTTTCTTCTCATTGTAAGAAGGGAATACAAGTGCAGTGCATTAGTGAATAATGTATGCTAGACCCCACTGTGAGTACAACCATCAAACCTGGCTCCTACAAGCCTCTTTGCAAGCTTTTTCCCAGGGTCTTTCTGAAGATCATTTTGAGTAAAACGACAGGCATCTCACACGTTATTCTTGTCTTACTGCTAACCTCCAACTTCACTCTTTAAGCGGACTTTTCTAGTCTTATGCTATTTTGCCCAGATTCCTGTGGCCATTTCATCAGAGCACCCAAATTCCATCTAGTTGCCTAAAAAAAAACATTGGTACTATTCCGTTCCCTAGCCTTCTCTGGGATCTGTCTGCTCAGCATATAAAACTATTTTATCAGATTATAATCGTATATCTTAATTTCTAACTAGTCTCTGTTTAGACTAAAATTTTAAGATCATGCAGAATTGTGAAAACAAAGTTTTAATTTGGAAACAGGTTTTCTGCACTTCTCGAAAAGAACCAGCTTTTAAGTATCCTTTATTTATGCTGCATGTATAAAGGATTCAGATAAAGAGCGTTGACTTGGATAAGCATTAAAAATGTGGGCTCAGATGATTTGTATCTTTTAACCACCTAACTGGGAAAAATGAACCATTTGAAAAGCAGAAGACATTAAACTGCAAACAGCACTAGGCTGTAAGATTAAGCAGAAGGTTCTTGTAATTTATCCAGGAACAAAAATGATCAGCAAAATGAATACGACTGTGCAGTGTCTTAAAAGCTAAACAGCGTCAAGTTGCATTTAGAGCAGATTTCCCAACAGCAATCAAATAATCACAAAATACACAAGTCGTCACAAACTGCAAGCTTAACGGCAGAGTAGAGACCACTGAATAAACAGGAGTGCCTTTGAAATCCTAATATGCACAAGTGGCTGAAATGTGAGTGTGCATATTAACACTGGTTGAAAGATTTAAGGGTCTGTAAGGATCTTTGTGTTCCTTGCAGCAGCTGCTACAGTTTGGGAGGCGGTTTCTTTCCTCCCGCTGCTGGTTTCTTGAAACCATTTAAAGTCATGGGCCAGAAGGATCCCTCTTTCATAATGAACAAGTGTCCGCACCCACACAGCTGATTCAATGACTGTAAGACATGTCTTAACAGGCACCTGGATTCACTGATCACCTGTCTGGATTGGTTGGCTTTTCTCAGTTCACAGCTCAGTTTTTCTCGCATCAAGAATGTACTCCTGATACAATGGGATGTGCCCTGGGACATCTTCCCAACGTGAAACATGCAATATAAATGCAATCTGTTACTATTGTTGTCATTTTTGACTGTATTCCTCGAATCCGCTCACCTGAGAGGGATCACACTGCACATGTACTCCTGGCGTCTGCAGTGCTCTGAAGTGTGCTCACACACTCACCATCATAAGCAAACAATTAAAATCGGCAAATTCACTTTTCAAAAACAATTATTTTCCCCCCGATTGAATTTCACCCAAACTAACCAGGTGAAAGACAATAAAGAACAATTGTAAAGTTGTTTATTTATTCAGTATTTTGAAGGCACAATTAAGTACCGATATTATGAAATACCAATAATGGTATAGAAGACCAGTGCATTGAGGAACTCTGGACTTGACCTTCAACCTAACCTAAATTCTTTTAACCTAAATTTTCCACTTGTATCAACATTTCTGTATGTCACTTTTGGTAATACACAGCACTTAGGGAATTTCTCCCAGTATCCTGGCCAGCAAATCTCCAGATGAAAACTGTTAATTCACTTCACTGTTGTTGTGGGACAATGCTGCATGCAAACTGGCTGCTCCATTCACCTACAAAATACACTCACGATACTCTACAAGAAATCCTGTGATGCAATTTGACTTTTCGATGGCTTGATAAAAGCAAGGATTAATTTATTACAGCCTATTTAAATGATGACATTAAAAATAAAACATGATTCAGAAGAGAGTATGTTTGATCTGTATTATTCTTTACCACCAGTTTTTGTTGTATCCTCGTGACTCATAGCAATAACAAAATGCATTTTACTCTCTGTTTCCATCCGAAACACATAACATTGTAAAATAATAACCTTATTCTAATTCGGCAATGAGACACTGACCTGGCTTGTTTGTGGGTTGGACGGGCCACAGCCAAGTTGTACGAAATTCTTCGTAGTGTCCTGAGGGGTAAGATGTGGTGGGTATCTGATTGTTGGGTGTGAGAAGTAACTACCGGGTGCAGGAGGGAGAATGGAGCCCGGTGAAAAGTGGAGCGGTGAAGGAGGAGGTGGGCTTCTTGCTGAGATGACTGAAGATAGAAAAATAATAAGAAATAAGGTTGTTGTGGTCAAAGCTTTGCTCTGTACATAGCCTTAAAACAGCAATTGCAACAGTCTGAGAATTTGGGTTCCTTTAAGTTCTAAACTTTCTCAGTCAGGTCAGTCAACTGTTGACTTAACAGACTATATTTTTTTCAAATCAAGATCTACAAGTATGTAAATGTAGGCATCCAGTAACCTTTTTATACAGTAATTTACAATCTGTTTAACTGTTTTAATCTGCTCTGTTGCTTGTTCTCTCCCAATGGGTCCTTTAAGAAGAGTTTCCCATTACATTACTGACTCACCTTCATTTACCCCCTTCACACGGCACTCTGTGGAGGAGCTCTTCTAAAGAGGAACATTTAATAATTTCCCCCAGAAAAACAACACGTAGGACATATCTAAGGCTAAGCAAAAGGCGCTGGAGGCACTGTCTGCTTTATTTTACAACGTAGAGTATCATAGTTAGTAATCATCAATATTGTTCTGTCCATAAACTCTTAAGAGAATGCAGGAAGAATATTTCTTTTCTCAATCACATTAGATATATTCTGCAGACCAAATTATAACTTCTTGTATCTAATAGGTACTGAAACAGTTTCTATATAAATAACTACTACAATTGCTGTGAAGTCAGTGATATTGTATACTTTGTTCCCTCTTGCTCTTCATATTCTCCCTCACCACCCCCATTCCATGCACCTAATATGGGATCCATTGTGGTATTTGTGAATAAGGAATCAAATTTATGCAAATTGAAACTGAAAGTACAGTACATCACACTGACCTCCAATCCAACACATCAATTTCTGGAGTAGGTGTTTCTACGAGTCGGCAGGAATTCTTACAAGATTCCTTATTACGGAACGCCATTAATTGGACTTGGCTATTTCTCAGTTATGTTATCAACATTCCTGGATTGATTTAAGCAGCAGGAAGTTTGCTCCGATGATGAACTAGAAACTCCTGGGCAAGCGGATGGATCATAACCAACCAGCATACCTCAAAGCACAAGTAGCTGTGAGAGCCAATCTCTGAGGACTGGCCATCACCAAGGTCTAGGCACCCATGATGTGAGGGTGCTGCATCACTGAGCCACCTTATTTTACAGGTGGAGTTAGAGACTGTCAATGGAGATGTCCTTACTGGAAATAAAATCTCCCCCAACTCAATTTGTAGCAAAAAAAATCCAAGCTGATCGAAATGTATTAGGCATCGAAAGGTACCACAGAAGATGTGGCACAAAACCTCTTCTCTGATTTGTTTGCCTCCAATTTACAATTCAATAAAACCCAATAACAAAAGCATGAGTTCATTACCGCTGTGTCCTGGGATGCCAGGATGATGATGTGGTGGGAAAGTGCTCAGTCGTGGTGATGAATCTTGAGGAGATGTGGGGCCACTGTACATTGACTTCTCAGGCTTCTTCATTGTAGGAGATGACATTTCTACTAAGTCGTAGACAGAGATATGAAAACATATGAATATAGTATTTTCATTAATGCAGGAGTACTGCCACAAGCAGTGTGCACGGTCTCGAAGGAAAACCCTCTCTTCTGCTCAGGTGACCACTTATTACCACAGTCCAGTGTTGCTTCTGTAAATCTCACACACACTCGATGTTCATACACAAACATACATAAATAAGTCCACGCACACACACATACACACACACATCCTCATAATAGTAACTCCATATTCATTTATTGTTCAGTGTGACCGTCACTAATCCCTGATGACGTTGCATGTTAAAAGTGATGGCCATTGCAATTGTGAATAAAACCAACCAAATTATTCTATGATTCCCATTCTAATCACTCTAATAGACTGCGAGGCTGAAATTCCAATGCAGTGCTGGGGGTCTACTGCATTGTCGGAGGTTCTTCAGATGAGGCATTACAACTGAGGGGCCATCTGCTTGATCAGGTGGTGTTAAAGATCCATGTCACTATTCAAAAAGAGTTTCTTCTTCAGTGACCTGACCAATCACATAGATAAAATTAATAATTTGCTTCATGACTGTTTGTGAAATCCGTGTTTGCTAACAAAATACACAGTTATCACACTTCACATATATCCTTTAAAATGCTTCGGGATATCCTCCCAATGTGGAAAGCTCCATATCAAATTTAAGGATTATTATTATTAACACATTTGCAGCATTTGTACTTCTGAGCTTACTATAAAGTAGTTCTCAGTTGCCAAGTTTCCCCATTGTTTTGGGTTCAAATGAAGGAAAGTACTTGGGCGAAACCTTGGGCAAGTTTCCTTACAACACACGCCTAATAATAATCTCTCCAAAACAAAATAATAATAAATTGGTCATTTTCAATCCACGACTGTTTGTGGGACACTGCTGTGCGCAATTGGCTGTCGCGTTTCGCCCTCAAAATATATACGGTCAATTCACTTTACAGTCTATTCTGTGAAGCGCTTTGAGACGTCGAGAAGACGTGAAAAGCGCTATATCAAATGCAAGGATTATTATTATTATTCTTAAAGTGCAATTGGCAAAAGGAACTGTGAACCTCATTAATGAAGCTCTTTGTTTGTAATGTGTTGGGAATATTACTCAGCTCTGGCAAGTTTGCCATACTTTAGATTGGCGTAGCATTTAAAAGCTGCTTATGCAAGAAGCGCCATGTGCCAAAGTGATTTTTTTAAATGTGGACCAAGTACTGTTTACCCAACAGTATCCATTAATCATTTGAAATAATTTAACAGTGTTGTATTAAACAAATATTTTTTTGACAAATTGGCTAGGAATCTATTATTTGACTCGGGTGTCCCACTGCTAGTTAACACATAAACCTTTGTCAGTAAGTTGAGGCTATGTTTTGCTAAAAAGGACATTTTCGTGAGGATTGCCTGTTTACATTCAGGAACTTAAACAAATGTGCTGGTTCAGCGGTATCTAACCTTGGTGGTGCATAGAAAACCCACAGCGAGCATTTCAATAGGGCTATTTTTGATGTGTTTAAACAGTGGGATCTTCAGGCAGAGCCTTGGATCTGAAGATCAGGTTGCTTAAGCACATCAAAAATAGGGCTGTGGAAAAGGTCATACTGGACTCACTGCCCTCTGTCTAGCTGGATACAACCATTGCTATTGATGACAGCCTTAGGCTGTACTGAATCACAACCACCAATCATTCATCTCAGCACGAGATATTGATGTATCAATAGATTTTCTACATTGACTAATTGCCGATACATGAGTCCCTCCAAAATAAACACGGATACTTTTAAATTGGTACAAGTGCATCTCTAAAACTGATCCCGGGTTTCTTTTTCCTTGTTCAGTAAAAACAATGGGACTGAAGCCATTTCTAACAAAGCAAGTCATCTTCGGGGGAGGGGGTAAGAGAGAAAAAGAAAATGTCAAAAGATGAAGCCAGCGCACTTTGTTGCTCTATTTATCATGTTCCGTAACAACTTTTGAATGACTCCTTAACCTCCTGCCCTCCTCATCTTTAAGGTTGTTTTAATTAGCCGTCAGCTTTTAGTGAAGCAAACTCCAGAGAGGTCAAAGTAATCCAAAGGCAATAAGGAGTGAAAACTTGGAAAACAGCCCTCATCCTTGCACTCAATCTCACTTAACCCTCTCAGCACAGAACTTCAGTGTCAGTTTCTCAAAGATAAACAGGTTTCTTTTTATTTTAAAAATCGGAAAAGCTGAAGTAAATTATTATTGTATGGAAAAATGCACTGTGTGCTGTGGTAATTCAATGTGATATTTATAACCGGTGATAACTATCAAATCGTATATCTCAAATGCCAATCACAAAGCAGAATTGCACGATTTAGAATTCAGCTCAAAAAATAAAACATTTCACAGATTTTGGTGTGGAAACCGTCATCAAAGGATTAGTAACTAAATATTTTACAAATCTGCCTTACTATCTCAATTATTTTTAACGGTTCCGATTGAGTTTGCAATATGTAAATACCCTTTGACTGTGTATCGCTGTCTCTCTCCCAGTCAATACTCAATCCTGACTGGAATCCTGGTTTGAGTCTGTACACAGTATTGGGAAATTTCTTCGAATTAGACTCTAAATTAAAAGTAGTCTGAAAACTCTCAACCCCTTAGGTTATCCAAATGAGATGGAAGTCTTGAAGAGAAACAAAAGGAAGGCCTTTATCAAACAACCATTCCACCTTGGTTTCTACAGCTGTATATCATCCTTTAAGCGCTTAATGTCATGTCAATTATTTAATGACTAAACCACCTGTTAAATTGACATATAATCTTCTCAGCCCAGGCAAGCAAGCACATTCTTCTTCACACCTGCAATGGCTATGCACCCAATAGCACAGATAAATCTATTTTTACATATGCATTTAGAGCTGGAGAAATTCAAAGACTTTTTTTCAAAAAAAAATCATTTTAGTCAGCAAATAGGCCATGCAACACACAAACCCCAAATACACATACATGCGCATACACACACACAAACACACCAATAAAGTCAAGCTTTCTTGAAGCTTAATAAAAATGTAACCATACACTACAGTTCTTAAAATAGGACCAACCACATAATGCGAAAATGTTCCCTCAATCTAACTGTTCTTCGCAAGCAATTGTACTGGAAGACACAGGAAGTACATTGGTGTCTGATTCTTCAATGAGTTAGATATGAAACAGTAGAATACAAGTCAGAGGACATTGTGATGAAATTCCACTTTCCTTCCAGCAAAAAGTATTTCAGTCTTACCAAGAAACTTTGACAACAATGCTCTTTTCATCTTTCCAACTGCACAGTAAAAATATAGTGGTCAAATTTGGGACTGTGATGCGTTTGTCAACACATTACTGAAAATCCTATCCTGCCGATAAGTAAGGACGGACCTCCTGCTCCCCACAACGTCCAATTGCATCAAGGTCATTTGGGTCAAGGTCGGCCTCAGCTGGCTGGCTGGTGAAATGGAGTGGAGTTAGCGGTGTACCGTCCTAACTTCCCAAAGCAGCGATGGTTATCATTATCCAGCTGACCAGCACTCCAATCCATGAGCACTCCGCTCCACTGCACAGCAAGGCGGCTTGGGGTCCAAACATTGAGACCGAATGGGGTGACAAGAGGCAAGGGGGGTGGGGAGAGTCACACCCACAGAGCTTACAGTTAAGCTTACTCCCTCCCATACCCTTCTATTCCCTTCTCCCTCATGTGAAAGTCTAGCTTCTGCCTTGGTCCATTTGAGCTCAACCTTCCAGAATACCTGCCATAGCCTTCTCCCCTTGTGCACGGTTCGGTCTTGGATGGATATAGCTCATGTGTTGTACAAACGTTGAGGGATAGCCTAAAACTGCACACAGACTAAACCGGAGGGCACCAATCCCATCTCAGTTTCATACTGAAATGGTCCAATGATTAAAACAATATGTTACATTGATTCCAACAACTAACCTTGATCTCTTTCATGCCATGTCCGGCTGACACTGGTAGGTGAGCTGGGAGAAGGGTAAAACTCTCCTGTGGGACTGGTATCTATGCTGTCATCGATAGAGATAGCCTTAGGCCGTTTGCTGTCAAACATAAAATTCAGATTAAGGTTTGAAATTAAATTAAACAAGACTTTAAAAATAATTTCACTCTCCGTCTCTCCAAGATCAGGACTTTTAAGAAATAAAGTACCAAATCATAACCACAATATTATTTCCCAATAAGATAATAGCCCTTGAATAAAGTCATAAAAGGACCCAACTGAGTCATGAAAAAAGCTCTTATCTAGCGTGTAAGATAATGACAGTCGGTTCTCCATTATGTTGTACTACATTCTATCATCTTCCATTACATTTTATTCTATCCCATTGTCTGGTGAGCTGAAAGGTGACGACACATTTCAGTGCAGCCACTCAGCTTCAATCTGTTTGCCTTGATACAACCCTTGACCCAATCTGCTCCAGCTTTAGTTAGGATCCATTGTGAGTTTTCACTTCATTCTGGGGTAAACTTCTGGTTTCCACACAGTCAATAGCAGCGATATTCAAACCATTGGCAACTGTATTTCAACAAGAGGTTTACACGGCTCTGAAGTACAGGTTAGGGTGTGAGTTAATCATCTATTTACCATAGAATAAGTAAATAAGACACAAATCTATCAACTCTCAATGTCTACATTATTGCGAGGGGCAGTGCAATTGCCCCTTTTTATTTTCATCTGGTAAACATCTAGAAACAGTTTCAGTATTCCTATGGCTTTACATTCCAGGATCTTTAATTGATGTAAGATACACATTGCAGTCTAATCTGCAATATTCGTATGTGCAAAATACTAGAAATGAAGAGGGAAGCCTTTTCAAAACACACAGTCATTCCATTTTACAGAATATCCTGTGAAGCACTTTGAGACATCCTCCTGACATGAAAGTGCTAATGTAAGGATTATAAGAACTGCATTGATCCCAGTCTGTCAGTCAGTCTGTGTGACTGGAGCTGCCGATTTCCAGAAGCTCACAAAACGCAATGAAATGGTGGAAAGCAGGATGAACAACCACGAGTAATTCTGGTTTGCCCTGTGGTAAAGTCATAGGCAAAAAACCGCTGCCAGTTGTTAGACCACAATGTCTAGCTGGTGCAATGAGAGACCCAAAATAGCACCAAATCAAGTCTATCACTATGGATAAAATTTGTCATTATTATATTGACAGTTCTTCATATTGACAGTATTCCACTTTAAACTGTCCTCCTTTAATGAACAACCAGATAGATTTGGGGATTTAACTTTTGCCAAATGTGTTGTTTACGAGTGTTGTTATTCTCCTCACTGTTGTAAATGTCATGGTGTTTGGTTTAACGCAATAATGATAACGCTTGAAGCACAGTGATCTAAATGGTGGATATTAAAGCTTGTACCTGCCCGGTGGAGAGGACAATGATCTCTGAAGCCCAGAGTTAATGTCATGGTAGAATGGCTGACTTTGAATTTCTCCAAGATTGTAACTGACTCCACTTCCTTGGGTTATAGGCACTGAAAAAGAAGAAAATAAAACTTTTATGAATCCATAGATCGATAACATTTGGTTCATGCAATAAATTATTTCAGAATACTCTTCCGTAGGTCACAAAGAGGTTTCCAAATTCCACATAGTCTTAGCCTGTATGATTAAAAATTCTTAAATTCATTCTTACTTCAAAAGCCAGATTTTTTTTAATGACTACGGAAAACTGGTTTTGAAATCGAAAATGAACTTTTTTACGACTAAATGGTCTATGACTAGGTGAAATGCCAGGCACCTCAATGTATACTGTACTGTGGGATATTTGTTAAAATCACTTTGTAAACATTGCATTTCAGGAAATGTTAACTCTTGGGTGCGACACTTGCACACGTATCCAAGTGCCGTCATGTTGCTGTGGCTTTCTGACAAGAATAACTGGAGGCATAAACGTTCCGGTTTTATTGCAGAACAATACTTGTACCAAGGATCGACTTGGTCATATCTATGATGTGATCAGATCAATTTTCAGAACCTGTGACCTTAAAAGTCAAATTTCAGTCAACAAAAATACATTCATAATGAATGCAGCTCCCATCTTGAAATAGAGGGTGGGATTGCAGTGTTTGAAAAAGCAAGAAAAGTAAAATGAAATTCTTTAAGAGTTTGAAAAGAGTTCCCAAATGGATAGAGTAGGTAGGATAGAGATGGAATGGGTGGAAAACAATTAATAACAATAATCGCAAAAGAAAGAGAAAATAGAGGAAGACAGGATAGGAAGAACAGGCATAGCTTTTATAACAAAAATATGTTTTTAATATTCAGAGTTAACATCAGAGCAATAAAGCTCTGATGTCTAAGTAGCTTTACTTTGTAGCATTAATATTTTTTCAATCGTCACAGCGTACGAGCTGAAAATATATAGAACAGGTTGTTCCACAGGGCTTTCAACAGACCTACAGCAGTCTTGCAGTTACAAAAAAACTTGCATTTATATAGCGCCCTTCATGCGGGGTAGAGTCCCGGAGCACTTGACAGTGGCAGAGTCTGACCCTGAGCCAGAGGGAGAGGGGAGGTGACCGTAAGCACGATCAATGGAGAAGGTCTTTTGGCGGGATTTGTAAGTTAAAAGTTTCTCCCCTTCTGAAGACCATGATTTACAATGGTCTAGCATTGGGCAGCATTTGGTGATGCGCCCACATTCTTCACACATCAGCCTAAAACAATGAGGGAAGGAAGGGGGCGGGTGTGGGGGGGGTGGTGTAAGCATTTTCCAGCATGGATCCCCAGACAGCAATCAGGGCTTGGATCCTGTTTTTTTCCTCTTAGGAATACTGAGATAATGTACCACCAACCTGACTCAGATCAGCTGACTCAACACAAGCCGGGAGTCAAAACTGATGAAGTGCGTTAAGTATCTCAGATTGCTGGTTTACTTGGAGTATCAGTCACCTGAGCTTTGAATCTGGCTGGAATGTGAAGTGAGGACCGTAACAAGCTAATAAAGTACAAGTTGGATACTCGAATCCGCAGAAAACAGGAGGATTAGTTTTCAGTTTTGCATCTCTAAGCATTTGCTCAGTAATCAGGAATCTGCATGTGTTAACTGCTGGACTTCCACACAGGCTGCACTTTCTCCAGAGCTGTTCAGTTGCTCTGGTGCGAATGTTGCTCATGATAGATCACACGTGCTGATAAGGCCCTTGCAATCAAACATTTGGAATTTTTGTGCACTTGAACCCTGCTCAATTAATGGCCACAAATATCCATGAATCCAAAGGGTGTATTTAACATACGAATGTTATTCCAAAATACATGGGAACCATTCACAGAATTTTCAAGGAGAATGGGTGGGGGATGGGGTGAGGAACGTGAAAATCAACATGCTTGTTGATTTGTAACCATTTCAACATCTGGCAGCCACACTCAGTAGCACGATATTCTGTCCATTTTACGCAATAGGATTAGTTCTGCCATCTTGGCACCACCTCTAGATTCGGTTTGGAAAGCTCTGCACCAGCTGTTAATTGTTAGGCGAAAGCTTCCTAATATCACTGCCCTCAGGTCTGACATGTGTGAGTTATCATTGTATGGCGACTGACATGGAAAAATTTCACTTTACCTTCAACACCGGGGCTCAAACGAACTTTGAGATGTTTACATGAAGGGATTGGGATTTGATCTCAGTTTCTTAATTGAGAGTTCAACAACCTAGCTCTCTTTTTTCCCACAATTTGACGATCAATATTTTTACTGTACCATACTTTTACACCACGGTAAAACTAATAGTCGTCAAAATTGTAGGGGATAAAGGGAGCTTCCAATGCAGCTACATTGAACACTAGGGTATAGCATCATGTTTTTTGTTTTTGCAATCATTATCTGCAATAGGGTTATTCATTAATACCCGAGTTGATAGTCTAGTTTTGTCCTGAATCCCCTTATACTGAATGTGGAGGTCATGGCTTTCTTTCCAAAGTCAACGCATTCTTGAACTGCAAAGCAAAGCTATTTACAACAGCTTGCTTTCGAACTACATGAAGTCACTCAGCAGATGGGCCTTCCAAACTGACAGATGTATACTTGTATGTACTGTATATAGCGTGCCCGTAACCTCTACAGTATATCCTGGTGTTTACAGGAGCTCCAGATGTCATCACATAGTCATTTCACACTTTCTTTAGCAAAATCTTTGAAATCAATCAAGGTGGAGTGTTTACAAGCAGTAAAGATGCACCAAAATGAATGCTATGCCAACACAGTAGTCATTAGATCACACCAGTTACTTTTCTCCCCAAACTATTGACACAGTAAGAGGTTTCTAGTCCAAGCTGCAGGTTGAACAGTCTGTGATAATTTATAGCCAGTTAAGTTCCAGGACGTAAAATGCCAATCTCTATTACTTGAACTAGTTTATGCCTGGCAATTCCAAGAAGAGATTACGTATAAGTATGAATGAATGTCTTTCTGGGATGAAACCAACCGGAGATATCACTTACTTCTCGACACTCGCATTAGCTCTCCAATGCTGAAGACTCCTGATTTTACGAAGCTGTCCTCTAGGTACGCTGGAAGAGAAAGAGTCCAAAATCAATCAACCATCTGCCGGGTCTCTTATTCTTCATCATTTATATGATCTTGATCTTGAAATCCATTCAGTTCAATAAGTAGGAGGATTCATTTTGTAAATAATCAAAATGGGGGGAACAAAGCACATTAACTTTACAGTGCTAGATTGTTGGACTAACATACTTAGTTCAAACCCCAATCCTATTACACTTCACTTCAAGCATCACTAACATGCCTTTGCTACTCTTAGTCTGCCAAGTGGAGAGGGGATGTGTTCCTTCATCACTCAAGGACTACTTCATAGAGGGCCAGCTAAGGAACACAGTCGATAACAAGCTGAGAGTGCTGGATAAACCTGACATTCGAACCACATGTAGCATGGACTCAGGGGAGGGGTCCTGGACGAGAGGACTCATGGACAGGGGTAATGGTCTTAAACCAGGTGGAACGTGGAAAAGCAAAGTTTGAGCTGACAGGATAATTATGGATCTGTATTTTGCATAAGGGATGCTGCACACATCCTACCCTGTAAATGAATGCAAATGAATTGGAAAGAAGCTGGGAAGTCAAGCTCATGGCAGTGCGTGAGTTGGGGTGGAAGGAGGGGGAATGCTGCTGTGCTATAGACCCTTCAGAGTGGAATACAGGCTTTGAAGCCACAAGCAGTTGTTTTCCAGTTTTGTGCCAGTGAGGTGGTGTCCTTGTGATATAATAAAAACGTGAAAAAATTCCAATGTCCAAGCCCTGCCAATGGCTACTTTTAAGCTGGCGTTGTTTTCTGACTTTCTGAGTTTTCAGGCCTTTTCTCAGATGAAAATCGGCCCAAATAAAAAAAAAGTCCACCTACAATGGAAAACTGGAAATCCCAATTGTGCAGGCTTTTGTTTCCGGCCCATTGTCAATGTCATTGAATGCTTTTTCTGCTGCTTGTTAACCAAGCTGACCCTTTGGTGCCCTGATCTGCAATCCACCTATTCAGGTGGCTTCCCGAGTATGTAGTCTATCAGACACTGATCACTATTCAATAACAATCTTTTTCATAAGTCTCCCGAGCAGAAAAGCCTATTATAAAGCCATACCAAAGAGATTGCTGTTTCTAGCAGTCATCATATGACAATAATGATATTCCTTGTATTTGCTAAAGCATGTTGTCATGTCAAAATATCTCAAAGCATTTCACAGTTTTCTGTGAAGTGTAGTGACTGTATATTTGTAGGTGAAAATGACAGATCTCCTTGATTGTGCACCTCTATTTTGAAACCTACACAGGATTACATACATCTACTGACAACAGATTAACTGTTGGCAAAATTGTTAGCAATTATCGAAAATGCATCCAAGTCACAAGCCTACTTTTTGCAGATGCTGTGTAAGGTATTCATGTTTTGTGTCTCACAAGAAATCTCAATGTTAATAAATCACACATACACACACACAGACTTTTATTCACAATTTATATTGCACAAAATGACACTATGATTCACATGGCTGATGAGAACAGCGCAAATTGATTTAGAACCTGCTCCATATGTGTTAGCTTTTCACTAAAGGTCATCAAAGAAATTTTATAAGTCTAAAATGAAAGTACCACCATGAATTCCTTCAAGAACACCATCAGGATCCTTTCTTGAATATTTCAGGTGTCTTCTGTGCATAGATGGAGGAACAGGAATGGTCCATGTAATAGTTATCGCATTGAATGGGCTGGAGGCAGATTCCTCTCTCTAATTCCGCTATTCTTAAATTCCACAAAGCAGGGTTTGTGGATTGTGAGCTGCTGGTTAAAGACATACTTCTCTTGTTGGATATTTTGTTTAGTAAAAGCCCAGAGAACTTTGAGCTTTCATTCAGGCAAGTCTTCAAAAGAAGGAAAGGGAGAGAAAAATTCTCAAGGTGATGCCAAGCACGATGGCATTGGTTAAGCAGAATTCCGCTAACTGGCAGCCAAAGTCCATCAAAAGTCGAAAACCGTAGACCTGGCTTCCTGGAAGAGGGGGTGGATGGGAGAAAGATTGGGAAGTAAGAAGTCTCATTTCTGGCCCATTCAATGCAATAATAATAATAATAATAATCCTTGCATTTGATATAGCGCTTTTCACATCAGGAGGACGTCCCAAAGCGCTTCACAGAACACACTGTAAAGTGAATTGACTGTATATTTGTGGGCGAACGCGGCAGCCAATTGCACACAGCAATGTCCCACAAACAGTCGTAGATTGAAAATGACCAATTTATTATTGTTTTGGTTTTGGAGGGATTATTATTAGGCGTGTGGAGTAAGGAAACTTGCCCAAGGTTTCGCCCTGCCGGGAATTGAATAAATATCACATGGACATCAAATTTCACCTCTGTCTTTATATCTGCGTCGACCATGGATATAAAAGCAAATAGTGTAACGGAGTGGCCTGAGCACACTGCATATCCAAAAGCCATTGATGAAGCAAAGCGAGTCAATTCGAATTCTGCTTTTTCAAGTCAGCACATTTGTCAGTCACAGCTTAGAAACTAAAACGTAAAAGCCCCTTTCAGGGCTTGTGTTCTTATCACAGACATCCAGGCAGATGTTCAACTGACGGATCCCCATGTACTACTGCTTAGGTTTATGTTGTGGAACATTGCAATTTTCATTCAGGGAGGTCCCAGAAGGAAGAGAATTCAAATTCAAATTTGGGTCCTCATATTACTCACATTTCTATAATTTTACCCACACAAAATAAATAATAATAATAGTAATAATAATCCTTGGATTTGATAGGACCTTATCACGTCGTCTCAAAGCGCTTATAATATAACCGTTGCATTTGATATAGTCCTTTTCATGTCTTCTAGAAGTCTCAAAGCGTTTCACCCAATATGAATTGACTGTATATTTGAATAAAGTGAATTGACTGTATATTTGTGGGCGCTTCACACAATATACTGTAAAGTGGATGAACTGTGTATATTGTGGCCGAAATGCAGCAGCCAACTGAGCACATCAAAATAAATCCTCTCCAACACTCGGTCATTCTAAACTGAAGTGATAAACCAAACTGTTTTTGCCAAAATGGTTAAAATTCTCCATGACCACAGCAAACACACCACAATTAGAGGTACAAAGTGCACCAGCAAAGCCTCTACAGGTGTGTAGCAGTCAGGGGAACATTAACAAATCTGTGAAGATTCATAGCTGGCTTTATTGGCCACCGAATACTAAATAAACCCATTAACCCTAAAAACACCATGCTTTTTATATTGCGCTCAACATGCCATGTTGCTGTTTATTCAGCACAGCGAGAGTTTGTTACTAACAACTTGCAGTTTGAGAATTTTTTAAAATTGGTTAACATCTTGAAGCACTTTCCAATGATGATGTGGATCACCGAGGTTGGGGGTGGGGGGAGGGCGGGGAGGAGAGAGAGGAAAAAAGACAGCGCTGTGTTTGAGAATGTTGGCCAAACACACAGAGGGTTGGGAAGATAGGGAGAGAAAGTGAAAGGTGAAGGGATTTGGGACAGGAATCGCAGAGAGCCCAGCTAACATTTCTTTTTTTTGAAAAAAAATCTTTTGGTTCTGGTTTGAAATATCACCTCAAATGTGCAATTTTTAGACCATTTCCTTGAGATTACAATATAAATTTGTTAAAGCAACGGAAAATTGCCAAAAACGGCGAATGAATGTGTAACCTTTGCGTAGCTATTTTATTTGCAGCACAGAACAATGGCCAAGGAAACCAAGGCTATGACAGATATCGAAATACACACCCTGAAATGCCAACAATTTCTCTCCTGTACTATTTAGGAACATTTAATTGTCTACTATTGATTTCCTGCAGGCTTTAAAGTATCAATGCCTCAAAAGAATTTTTAATTCCGGGATCAGCTTTTAGAAGATCCGACATATTGTCTAGCTTGTAAAAAGATGTCTCTTTTCCCAGTCTTTGCATTGATGGCATATGCACATTTTGAACTTGGAAGCAGAAGGGCAAGATTGGTGCCTTGCTGAAGCATGGGCGAAGTTCCAGCTTCTCAGAAACACTCAGGCATGCGTTGCTGGCAGCTTTGTGTAATTAAAAGCAGACTGTAAAATTACTAGCTAAGGGCCATAGGACTTAACCCTTCATGGTCTAACCCGAATTTTTTTGAACACAAAGAGGATAGTGTTCGGGAATACTCTGACATGATGGTGCGCAGACAGATAGTTAATGGAGCAGCCGTTCTTTTGTTCCCGTTTGTCAGTCGGTGTTTGAAACTATTCAGGAGGGGAGTATTTTTTGTTGAAGAGAATTAACTGATAAAATTTTACAAATTTTCAGTAAAACTAATCTAACTCTAACTGGAATTGAAAAACACAATTTGCCACAGGTTGCTTGCATCGGGGTGTTGGATTGTCTGAGACAGACGGTCGGGGGAGGGGAAAGAGTTGGTGAAATGCTTGTTGTAATGAAAACTGGGATTTAATATTGTTTAAAGCAGATAACCACAGTCCTTAGAAATTGGCTTCATCTCGAAGCAATCAGTAGTAACCTGATACTGGGGAGTCCGAGTACACTAAAGTCCATTAAACAAAGTTAGCAAGGCACATAAAAATCCCACCATAAAAAAGAGCAGTTATAGAGGCTTGGCAATCCTTCAAACAGACTAAGTGCCATTGTATGAGAAGAGAGGTTAACAAATATATAGACTCATCACGAGGCACTCGATACTCAAGTAACACTTTTGGTTGGTCTGTGTCGGAACCAAGTAATTTAACTTCAATAAAGCTATTCCGAGACCTCTGCTTAGTTGAAACAACTTTCACTACTTACCTTTATTCACTGCCAGCTGGGACGTGAGCTATAACTCTCAGAACACCTGATGAATTAGGTATTGCAATTTGTTTACCAAGAAGCCAGTGTGACTTTTGTCTATGAGGTCATTTAATATGAACATTTTTTAAAAAACTAAATACGTTTCTATGGACAGGTTTCCAAATATGCTCATAGTTATTCTCGCATGGGTTAGTAACTTCTGCTGTTTTTTTGTGTGTGTTTCAATCAGGGTATGAATGTGTATGTGTTTTAGGGGTGTGTTTGTATATGTGTATATGTAACTTTTATGAGTGTATGTGTATGTGTGTTTGTACAAGTGCATGAGGATGTGTGTGAGTACGTTTGTACTAGTGTGTTAGTGTGTGTGGGTAAATGAATCTGAGTTTAATTTGTCTATGTATGTGTCTGTATCAATGTCTGTACGAGTATGAGACCAAGGGGCATCTTATGAGTGATGTTTATGAACAGCAGGAATGAGATTAATGCAAAACTTATTTATACATAAGGAGCAGGGTTCACAGAGAGTGTGAACCAGCACATTAAAATGGGAACAGAAATAAGCCATTCAACTCATAGAGTCTGAACGCTATTTAGAGAGTTATGTTTTCAATCTAAAATCTCGCTCTAAATATATGACTATTGACAGGTGTGTAGTTTGGAACAAATGTTACTACTAGATGCAGCAATCAAATCTTGATTGTAATACAATATCCCAAGTGTCCGAGAGTGAGACAAGGGATTGAAAAGTGAAAAGGCGAGGATTCTTTCTGTACAGCACTTTTGCTCTCAATTAGCTGAGTTTGTGGTGTTTGTGATGGCCAAAGAAGAATTTAACAAGGTAAAAAGAATACAAGAGACAAGGAGAGAAGGCCTAAACACAGGAAGAAAACATTTTAAAACAAATGATATGTGTCTTTGGGGATGGGAGGAGGAGAGCACAAACACACCAATCTCATGCCGAGTAATAGTGTAGGGTAGATTATAACGTTACTGAAGGTAAGTTTATCAAAAGTAGTAACTGTGTCATCAAGTGAGGAAAATGCCAGCTTCAGAATCAATAAACACTTAAAAAACAACAAAGTATACTTTGTTTTAAAACTCTTGGGAAGAAGAAAGTAAGCTGTTGAATCTTACCTCACTGAAACGTCTCAAAGTGTTTTAACAGTGATTGCAGAAGAACACTTTTATAATTCACCATTTTGGGGCCATAAACCTAAGCATCATATTATAACCGGGCACAAGGCTAAACGGCGACTGCAATGTCATTCCCGTGGCATGCGCTGATACTGGTGGCTGCCACACACCGGAAGTGGCATCGGGTGCGACATGGCAGACATTTATACTGTGCATGAAGCCAACTGGGCCATTGCACTGACACCAACCATTTCAGTGGGCACACACATAATAAACAAACCAGCCTTCAAAAAGGCACCTGAAACAGGGCTCTGGATATTATCAAGCATAGTAACTGCTATTTTTAGGGAAACAGTTTTGCACGTCGCACAGCAAAATCCCACAAACAGTATGAGGTGAAATGACCAATTTTATCTGGGTAATTTCTGGCCAGGACACTGGAAGAAACTCCCGTCTATTTTCAAATGATGCTACGGGATCTTTAACGCCCACCTGAACAGGCAGATGGTACCTTAGTTTGATGTTTTATTTAAGGAAGGCATTTCCAACAATGGAGCCAGCATTGCCCAGTAGTGAACTGGAGTCTCAGCCTAGATTATGAGGCGAGGGAAGGAAATAATCCTAAAGCATTTGGAAGTAGAAGTAAAATTATGCGTTTCTAGTCCCTGTAAAGTAGATAGACAGTTCCCAGAATGGCTGTTATCTAAAATAACTACAAGTCAGATGGCAGGAAGTTACTTATCAAGTTTAGTGTCAAAGTCACTCAAGTTATTGAGTTGACAGATGGTCAGGAGTCAAACACAGTAGTGCTATTGAGCTTACGTCTGTCACAATTGTGCACCATCTATTTTTAATGCACAGGCAAAGAGTTGAAGAGATGATCAACTGTGAACAAGTCAATACAGTAGAACGCATTCAATCATACTCATTTATCGGCATATCCATTCAACCACAGAGGGTTCTGATGTGGAAGTTTGAAGCAGTCTTGTGAGATGAGGACAAAAACCTTGAGCTTGTGCAAAGTTGTATGCAAGCTTTCTAGGGCTACACAATCCCAGCAACCTTGTATGTACAAATCACCAATAAGACTTATTGCCGGTAGCAAAGATGAACGTTTATATTTTTAAGGTATAGAGTTTTAGAACAGAGATAGAACAAGATAGAAAATTAGATACTCTCACAGAGACGCACAGCGACACATACACAGACAGACACAGAGACAAAGTCTCTCAACGAGAGACACAAATGTACAAATACAGAAACAAGCACACATATTTATACTCACCGAGATAAGAAAGTCAGAATGATAGAAAAAAGAGTAAATGAGAAAAATGTCAGAGATAGAGGTGGGGAGAGTGAATGACTGGCACAGTATGGTACCATCACTAATAGAATTACTCCTGATAGAACAATTTTCTCATTAACACTCTAGAGGATTTGTATTTTTTGTGATGTCCAATTCTCCGCACTATTTGCTTATCTGCAGTGGGAGCAGTCCCAATTAATGTGAATGTTCAGCTCTCTAACCTTATGCAACTATTGGGGGAAAAGGCCTGGCAACAGTTAACTTAAAACATTTACCCAAGCTTTCACTCCAGAGATGCTTTTCAAAGAGTCAGAGCACAGAACAATGCCAAACTTAACTAGCTATGTGCAGCAAGTTGATGCTGGAAAACTGAATAAAACCTTTCAATTGTTTACATTGGGTGAATCATTCAAGAAACAGGGGATTTGTATTGACATGTAAACTAGGATGAAAAAATGTGCATTAAATAAATCAGAGTTGGTTGACAGTTAATTAAAATTTAATCTACTTCATAAGTCTTGTGCTTCCCCCACCCAGATATTCAGTATAATCAGGTTTCAGGTTACAAGCCTATATGTGTTACAACAGGACAACAAACACATCTGCTGTTGCATCTAAGAGAGAGCACAAACTGAGAAACTCTCTAAAAGCCACACAAAGCAGACCCAAACAGTTCGCTGACAAAAATAATCCTCACCCTGAGCTGCTAGTCTTTGTGAGCCCATCCAATGCATGTTAACCAGTGGTTGCCAACCTTTTTGGTTGGCTAACCAACCACATTTTCTTAATTGAATATTTCTTGATTGATGGTCACACGGTAGCCATGGCCATGGGTTGGCCACCACTGCTCTTTGCAATGCCTCACTCTGAGCTGATAGTCCTGTCTGAGGCCAGACACTGCACCGATATAGTTTTTAAAAATGTTAACTTGTTAAATTGAAATGAATCACATGCTGCAGTGGTCCTGTTTTCTTAGTGGTTGACTCATATAAATATTTGGCATATCAAGTCTATGCTGGTATTGACTCTGCCACTGGAGCTCTCTACCCTAATTCTTAGTTCTCTGGTCTTTACCCGCACCCTTTCATATTCTCCCTTCAAATGCTTATCCAATTCCCTTTTAAAACTAATCTGAATTCATGTGCAATACAATGAATAAACTATGGCAAAGAAAAAGAGGCAACTTTCCACCAAAACCAAAGGTAACGTTATAATTAAAGCTTTGTGCTGTGGATTAAGAGGCTTGGAGAGTTCTATAAATTAGATCAGCAAAAGGTTATGTGGTGTAGGGTGGGGGAAATACTTATCTTAGAAAGGGGTAGGGAGTAGAGAACAAACAAATAGACATTACAGAGCAAATATAAGGCACACAAAGCATATGGGAAATCCAAAGGAATAGAGGGGTATGGGGATGGCCTGGGAGAGGGAATTAGGATGGGCGGAGGTTTGTTTGGAGTATCAACACCGGCACAGGCTACATGGATCGAATGGACTGTTTTGGTGCAGTAGAGTACATCTATGCACTTCTAAGTATATGGGAGCTACTCACAACATAACCAAATCCTAATTGTGGAACACAAAATGGGACCAGAAAGGTTCAATCAAAATAGGGCAGAAAAAGGGAGGCAAGTTGTATTTAATGTGAGGTACAAACAGGCAATAGTGACAAGGAGACAAATAAAAGTATTAAGACACTGAGGATAAGAGCTGAAAAATGAGATTAATAATAAATGATTATAATGCAGATAGCAGTGAGTCCGATATGAGCAGCCAAAAGAGAGTATTCTGTGCCTTATTATAATCTCATTATCAACACTGGAAAAAGTTAAAATAATAACAATCATTGCATTTGATATAGCACCTAATCATATTGTTCAGACGCCTCAAAGCGCTTCACAGGATTTACAGTAAAGTGGATTCACTGTGTATTTTTTGGGCGAACATGCAAAATATTATTTAGGAGAAGGAATATTTGAGCTCAGTCCGAGGGGAACGTCTGATTTTGTGGCGAAGATTTCAGATTAAAATACTCACTGAAGACATTGAGGACATGTGTGTAAATGTAAAGGGTGCATACCCTACTTGTCTCTCCCTTCTTCCCTGAAGCACGACAAATTATATTGGTGCTTTGTGTTCCAAATGACAGCAATACTAATCTCAGCAATCGTTTCAGACAGGTATCAGTCAGGAGAAAACAGACAGTGAGGAGGGACAACCAACACCAGCTAGTATTTGAGCCAGCATTTAGTGGGAGCAGTGAATGGAAGGGGGAAGGATATACTGGAACCTGATCAGACTAATCTCAACTCAGAAACCTCAAAGGCCAAGTGTGTATACAGACCAGTGAGTCACAATTGTGAATTCTCGTCTATGCTGATATTACAGGGTTGAGCACTACCCACAATTGGGCTCAGCGCCTCGTGGGTCAGGAAGGGAAAAAAACATCCAGTGTTCCTGTTACTGATTTTGCTATTCAGAGACCCTACTGGGAGGTGGTCATGGGTGGATGTCAAGTGAAGACAGGATTGGGTTTGGCCGGGATGCCTAGCGAATATCATCACTGGAGTCTTCCAGGGGAGTAAAAGTTGCAGAGTGTGCACAAAAATAACAATTCAATAACAAAAAAAAAATTCTAATCTCAGCCTCTTCGCCTCTAAATGTCTACGCTGTGAGTGACTCACTTACCTGGAGTAATTTTTGGAGGCTCGCTGTGGCTTGGGCTCTCTGACTGCCCTGAATCTGGTCAAAACAAAACAAAAAAAAAGTTTTAAAATGAGGAAAGTTGATCCGAAAACAACTCTAATTCGTTTGCTAACTTGTTCAATACATTTTCAGTTTACACTATTAAGTTAAGAATTTCAGGCAGGCTCCATCTGGAGAGAGAATAAAAGGAATGCTGGAATAGAGACAACTCCATCTAGTCACAGGCTACAATTGATTCAGCATAACCCCTCTGACGTCTCTCTTTCTCTCTCTCTCTCCCTCTCTGGGGAAGGGAAAGATACCAAATCGCTGAGAGCCATTGCAGTGGTGGCCACGTGCAGATGGCTGAAGCAAATAGCAATAATGTGTGTGCAGTGAATGAGTTACGAGAAAAAACAAACATTTCACCACGCTCGTAAAATAAAATGGCACGGTTCAATGACCTGGTGGTCAAGTTCAGGTCAATTTTATTTGTGGGGGAGGGCAGGGTGGAGACCTGCAACTGTCCTTACTCAAGTTAATTCAAGAAATTGAATTCTCCTGGAAATTATGGCTCTGGGAAAACTCGTGTAAAGTTATTGGGGGTGAAATAAATGCTCCAAACAATACGGCTGCACTTTGATTGTCTGTACTCTGCACTGGCTGTCTGATAATCCTCACTCTATTTTTTTTAACACTTGGCCAAAGTTCAGCAACCAAGCATTGGGGCCTGCCAGAATGAGGGCTGGTGGAGAGAGAGAGAGATGGGCTGGTCGGTGGAAGGAGATACACCTATTGGATGGTTGAGGGGACTTTAAAGAGGAGGGGAAATTGGCAAGATGAAAGGGTGAGCTACTGGTTTGCTTGGAGTAAATGTGTAGGAAGAGAAAATAATCATGAAAAGAAGAATTTAACGGATGAAGAAATTCAGCGTGGATGGGTGGAGAGGGATAACACTAGGAAACAGTAGGTTAGTCATGGAATGTAGGATGTACGGCAAATAAACCACGAGCTAGAGTGATGAGAAAATAGAGGAAAAACAAAAATATTCATAAAAACACAAAGATGAAGAAAGGAATAAAGAGGCTGGAAGCAGTTAGCGCAGAATTACTTGGGAGTTACTGCATCAAGATTGAGGCCATCTTTTAGCACAAGACAGAATTAAAGACATTTTCTTGATATTTTCTAAACAGGTATCCAAATAAAGTTAAGCAACTCAATCAGGAGTTAAGCATTCATCTCTGTTTTCAAAAATAGAATATTACATATCACTGCCTTTCTCTTGCAGTACAAATTGATGCACAAGCTTTGAAGTAGAAATTGGAAATAAAGATCTATTCTAAAGTTTAAAAAAAAGTTTCAGAGCACTCCATCATTGTTCAATGGTCAGATTCACTTTACCCAGTAAAGTGCCAAGGGTACAAAAAGTCTTAGCTTTTAATGTAGAAGATAACAAGAAACATGTGGTTCTAATCGGGATTCGAATCACAGACCAATTTTTCTAAAACTATCTGGAATTTTTGAGAGCTATAAAAATAGTTATATTTTATTTGCTAATTGTAGAATCAGTAATTAAATCACTGCCACATTGACTGATATCTGCAGTATTTGTGGTTTAAAGGACTCTGTGGAGATTTCCTTTTTTTAAAATAAATGTAGCATTGAAAAACTTTTAAATCGATGGTGGCAGTGCACCAAAAGGCTTTGTGTGAGATGCTCAGTTAGGTTTTAGAAAAAATGCATTCATGCACCAGCTTGTTGCTACTCATTTGTGGCAGCGTATTTGTAGCTATAGTCCCTCAATGAGCCAGGAAATTATTATTTATTCATACATCACTGAGGAGCTTCTGCACTCCTTACCTGAGCACAAGCATAACCAGCCACTGTGCTCACCTTGCCAATGTGGCAGCACATGCTAGAGCAATTGGCGCTTCTGCAACACATTTCTCAGACTTCTAACTAGCCAGTTGATACAAAGGGAAACCTAGGTTGACTCCCCTCAGTTAGCTAACCTTTTCCCTCTGAGGCTTAGAGCAGAGAAGATTTTGACAGGACATATCGGCAGAACAACAGGAGCAGAAAATACCAAGGATAGAAAGAGACATGCATAAAGTGAGAGAAACTATAAGAGGCCACATGAAAAAACAATAAAAATAAGTCTAAATCTGTCTAAATTCTTGTCTCCTGGGCTCCACTGGTATATGGCAGGCTCCACTGGTTTGTGCATCAATACTGTGAGTCTAGTTTAAGATACGCTTGACTGGTTTAGGCAGAGTTACACTGAATCATGCTGTGTTACACACATTTATGCTGCGTTACACTAGATTATGCTAGCTTCTGCCCCACAGTTTCTCAATTTTGCCTGATCCTAATTTATGAATACAGGCATCATTGCCTGTAATTTTTCCACAGTCAGTGTATCATTTGAATCAGTCAGCCCATGCAGAAACCCCAGCAAAACACCCAATAGTGAGGGCGCATCCTGGTCATTTTGGAAGTAATCTCTATCTGCATTGCAGAACACCCATCCCAGTATTGTCCAGGCTTCACTCCACAGTATGCTAATGCAATGGTGATGCAACATATCAGGAATCTTGGCAGTAAACTTATGAATAATAAAGTGTAATTTATGTATTGCAGCCTAACTGATTAATTACTACTGGAGTAATACAAAACAGACTCCAAGCTATAAGTTATGTCACAGCTATCGTAGAATACAATTCATAGCTTGTCAAAAACATTTTTAAAAAGTCTGGGTCTAACTTGAGCGAGCACATTCCCGAAAACAAAGTAAATATTAGAAACAGGAAAGAGTTTTATTTCTTTTCAAAATTTCCACTTACAAGTAAAACAACGACGCAAGATTTTGGAAGGAGGAAAAGAAAAGGCAATGTTTAAATGGAACTAGCACTGCGCCTTTTCCTCCTGAGAGGAATTAGGGATTCCTCAACTCAGACTCAGGCAGAAGCCAAGACTCTTGGGATTTCTGGCCAGACTCCATTCTGAAAGTTGGAGTACCTGGAGTGGTGTCTGGAGTCAAAACATAGCTAAACAAAAGCATTTGGCATCTTTGCAGTCTACTTGATTCCTCCTGCAGCTCAAAGCAAGAGGGCTGGTGTGGGGGGGGTGCGGGGAAGGAGAAGAAAGTGTAAGAAAGCAAGAAAGAAAAAGAGAGAAAGAGAGAGAAAAGGGGAAACTGACAATTTTAACTAGCTGTCAGTTATGTGAACTTCATATGCTGAAAGGAAACTCGAAAAATTGGCTCCAAACAATTCTAGATTTCGAGCACTTTTATGGTGAAGTGCTGCTGGTTACACTTGACTTGACATTTCAGAACTGCATGTAGTAAAATCTCAGAGGTTACTTCACCAACAAGTACAAGAGATTCAGACACAGGACGCACAATGCATATTGGTTGCTCTTTTTGAGCTGCTGTCTCTTATCGTCCCATCTGCTAGTCTTAAGTCACCCCATTCCCTTTGACAACCAATTGCTGTAGCTGCTTGACTTTTTGTAGCCTTGCAATTTGTAACATGACCTTTGCTGACCTCGAACTTGTTACCGATGTCACTTCCCAACCCACTGCCTCTGACCCCCAGACTAACAATACAAACTCTTTGTGGCCCTTTGACTTGCAAGTTAAGCCTTTTTTTCAGATCCTACACTCACTGCCTAAACATTTCTGCCCTTTGTCTGCACAACTGACCCCAGGATTATCAGACAACTATATTAGATTATCAACCACCAATGGAATGCACAAGATGAAGGATTTCACTGTATCCTAAATGTCATCCTTGCTATTGAACATAAAAGCAGCGTTATTACCAGAATAGGATCATGCAATTCAAAAACCTAGAATCACTAGGAGAAATTCCACCTGGGTTTAGATTTACTCTATTGACTCACCATTTTAGAGTGTCCAGAATTGAACAAATTGTTGAATTCCTTCCTTAACCTTGAAGTCTTTTTTTCTGCAGCTTTTACGAGAATTTACAGAAAAACGGCTTCGAAATCAAGGCTGTGTCTAAGAATTTATCAAATCCTGGTCGCTCATAATGCTGCAAAGAGAGAGTAAATAGGTGGAATTTCTCCCCAGCAACGTTTCATATGCATCGAATAATGAGACAAATCTGTTACGAGACTCTATAAGTTTTCAGTTTAAAGCAGATGGGCAGGCCAGAGACACCAAAATCGTTTCCCATCTACTCTTGATTGAACTGCCCTGTTGTGAGCCCTGTGATTAGAAGGTGACTGGGTCAGGCCATTAAATTAATCCCCTGATCCCTTCACACTTGCTTTACAACATTTCTCTACCCCCTTTTTTCACTTTGTTTGGTCTCCTCATAGTCAGCACATCTGTTTATTCTCATAATCTTGGATTTCATTTTATTCAGAGGTTCTGGTTCTAATCTCCGTCCCCCCCCACACCCCCCCTCTTCCTCCCCCAAACAATCATTAGTTTTCATCTCACTTAATGCCACAGGCCACTTAATGTGATAAATTGGCCTGACAATGGCTGCGTTTCAAGCAGAAACTTCCACACTCTCTCTGTGAAAAGTCTACAGTAAAATTGGATACGGTCATTGGGTGAGCACCACAAGCATGTAGCTGATAAAGAGTAAATTTGAGGAGGCGGTTATCTCGTGAGCATGCAGCTGTTAAAACAGCCAGTGCACAAATGTTCTCAACACTCACAGCAAAGGGCGATGGGTTCTTCAAAAAGAACCTGCTTAACATGTCTGGAAATGCACTTGATGTGCATGTTTGCACAGAGAGAGAGAGAGTGTCGTTGGTAGTGAAATACAGTATAATCTCTGACTCAGGTGAATCGCTCTTTCAGGCTAATAAAAAACATTCTCTGGCAAAGCTACCAAGCACAGCCAGGCCAAGAGACAAAGACAAAGAGAAGAAAGGAGACGACAGGAAGCACACTGCCGACCATGTCTCTCCTTGGCACTTGGCCTTCAAAGCCCGGTGGATGTTGCCAAACCAGAAACAGTGGGAAAGCCCAACTACTGTATTATGTAAGCCTCAGCTACTATATCAAGCATAGTACT